TAAATATTTATTATAATATATTAATTTAACTTAATTTATATATTATCAAAATTTTTTATACTTTAATTTTTTTTATTTTTTATTTACATTAAAATTATTTTAAAATCTTTTATTTAAGCTACTTTAATAGATAAATATTTTTTAAATAATAAATTACTTTATATATGTATAAATTGAAATATAATATTATAAATTATATAAATCAAATAATAAATAATTTTTTAATTTATTTTAATAATATAATAATAATTTTAATAATTTTATAAAATAATTAATTTATATTTAAAATTTTATTAATTTTAATAATTAAGAGAATTACTATTATTTGATAATTTTTTTTTATTAAAAAAAAATATCTGTTTTTAATAAAACTTATAATGATATTACTATCTTTTAAATTGTAATGCAGGCCAATTTGTCTACAAATATAATAAAGTATTAATTTCTTAATAAAATATAAAATATTAATATAATTATTATATAAAATATATTTTAATATATTTTATCAACTTTATTAAGTTATTAAGAAAATTTTAAAATAAATCAATTTTAAAATTAAGTTTTAAAAAATTTATTATAAAAATTTTTTAAAATTCATATGTTAAAAAACTAATTGAATTATTTTATTACTAATAAAAATCATAAAAATTCTTAATAAATTATAAATCTGTAATTATTAGTTATAGTTATTTTATATAATAAATTTATGATAAATAATATTGCTAAAGTAAATTTTAATATAATACAGTATATATTTATAAAATTAATTTTTAAAAAAAAATTAATTTTTCATAAATAAATCCGAAAAGAATTTATAGTAAATAAGCAGGCAAATTTGTCTGCAAACCCCTACAATTAAGGGATACTAACATTATCATAATTAAAATTTTCTAATAATATTGTGATTTTCATCTGAAGTTGAAATTCAGACGATCTTCGGTTGTCTGAAATTGGAATTCCAATTTCAGGATGAAAATCAATTTCAGTCACAACACGGTAAAAATAGAACAGAATTCCATATTCTGGATATTCTGGGAACAGTGGTAAAAATATTGTTGATCTTCTCCAGCTATAGCTAGAAATATTCTTTAATATTGTACGTAAAAAAATATATTTTTTTTTTTTGTTTGCTTATCTGAAAGTTTAGAACATTATACTTTTTTTTTTAAAGTATGATAAACCAAATTGAAAATTGTTGCAAAGAAAATTACTACGATGTTTATGGATAAAATCCACCATGCTTTAATATACGGTAATTCATTACTGCAGTGAGTACGAGGACGATTATCGTGACCATAACTTTTTTGTTAGTGCATTTTCAACGAATCTAGAATTAATACATCCAATTTAAATGGGTTTCGGAAATCGCCATATAGCAAATCTCGGAAATGAACTCTAATAAAAGGTATTAAAAATTCTATTATATTCCACGTTTCGTATAACAAGATAACCCATCAAAAAAATGAAATGAAAAAAAAATAAAGTTCGAGATTTCGTTTTAACGTAACACATTTTTTTTTATATAAAATGAAAACTTTTTGGTAAATGGTATGATTATTATTATTATTTTTCTTTTTTTTTTTTCACTTGATAAAGATGAATTTAATAGTACAACTTGTTATCCTTGGAATAATTTTTATTATTTCATCAAAATTATTACGTGGAAAACAGCAATTAAACTTAAACGAGCCACCTTTAATACCCTATAAATATCCAATAATTGGGCATACATTTGATTATTATAGAGATACGGAAAAATTTATCAACAAATGTAGTGAAGAGTATGGAGAAATATTTTCGTTATATGTATTTGGTAAAGTGATAACCTTTGTAGGCAAAGAACTTTATCCCGAAGTTTTCAAGAGTCACAAAGATTTTGATTTTGATATTGCCTTCAAAGAAAAATTTCCCCTAGAAAGATTTATGAATCGTCCGGATAAATTTTTTGCCCCTTTACCTAAAATAATATTTACCTTTTTATCACAATCATTACCATCATATGCCGAAAGAGTTCAAAAGACACTTATTGAAGCTATTGATGAATTAATCGGTGACGGTAAAGTCATACAAAACCCTCTGAATACTTTTCAATTAATCATCGCAAGACCAATCGCAGCATGTTTAGTCGGTGAAGAATTTTCTGATGATAAAGAATTGGTAAATACCGTAGCTTATGCTACCAGTGATTTGATTCCATACTTATCGTTTCCACCCTTTTTGAGCTTCATTCATCCGTTATTACACAAGGAATTTTTAGTGTAAGTACGGTTTCAAATTAATTGCGAATGTCGAGTTAAAGAGTCTAAATCCTATATGCTTTTTCTTGAACAGGGTATACTTTCAATTCTATAATCCCTTCAAAGTGCATAGGGATGTAATTAAACGAAAGGTTTCACCTATCGTCGAAAGAAGATTACACAGCATGAAAACGAACAAATCCTATGTTCCTCCTGTTGACATATTACAAAAACTTATCGAACTTTTAAGTCAAGATTATACAATCGACATCGACGTTTTAACTGATTACGTTATTGTTGTTATATTTGCTGCGGTGCATACAACTTCAACTTTCCTCCTCAACTCTTTACATCGTAAGTGATCAACAAGAGAAGGTTTTCTTATATAACAAAAAAGTATGTGTACTGATTGTTTTAAAATATTAAATTTTTTATTCCTCTCTTTTTTTTTTTTTTTTAGAATATGCAAATTATCCACAATTCCAAAAAGAATTATTAGAAGAACAAGAACGATTATTAAAAAGTAAAAATGGAAAGACCTATTATACTACTGAAGACATTGATAAATTGGTTTATCTGGACAGCTTTTTTAAAGAAACGTTAAGATTATCCACAAGCATAGTTTACTTTGAACACATGACGCTTAATTCTCATTTTACCTTTTCGAATGGTTATCAAGTTCCAAAGGGTATGTAAAGTAAAAAAAAATCGTTTATTTAATCCTACCCTTATAAACCTGACCAAATTAATTATTTTTTTTCATATAGATCGATTTGTTTATATTCGATTACAAGAAATTCATCGCGATGAAGAATTACAAGGTCAAAATCCAAAGGAATTTAACCCCTTCCGTCATCTAGGAAAATCACTCGCAGCACACGTAGAAAAAAACTTTATTGCATTTAGTTTCGGTAAACATGCATGTCCGGGTCGTTATTTCGCTGCAAATGAAATTAAAAGCGCTTTACATTATTTAATTTTAAATTATAATATTAAACATCTTGATGATAAAAAAGTTTATCCAAAAATCAAGGGTCCTTTCAGGTTTGCTAGTGATGAAGGTTTAGTATTGGAGAGAAAAGGAAACAATGTGTAATTAGAAAATCTATTGTATTTTCATTTTCATTTTCAATTTTTCTTAAACTTTGAAAGAAAATTAAAAAACGTCGTCATAATAATATTAATTGGGAGGCTAAAACTAATAAAAAGAACACAACA